AAGTGAGCTAACTGGCAGGATGGACAGTCATCTTAAGTGGACTGTGGAAGCCAGGTTAGCCCGACATAGCAAAACTAGCCCGACGGTGGACGTATTTCTGGGCCTTGCCTACATAAGGTAAGGAACGTAGGTCACCTGTAAGGTAATGAATGTGCAGGCATTACTTCGGATGGTGCCGACCGCGCAAGATGGAAAAGTTGAGAAGCAGTGGAAAGCAAGATGCAAAAGTCGATGGGCCCGGTTAAATGCCGGCTGACATGCTGCAGATCTTCTAAGCCCTCCCGCGGACAATCAGGGTCTTCCTTGACCGTTGGGGGAATACTAGCGCAGCGCCGCGAGCGCACAAGCCGAGGGGAGGTGAGCCCTGAGTGCTGTCACTGGCGGATGGGAGCCACGGAATCCACTAAATTTAGAATTCCGACAGGACCCTGACTCAACTTCTCCACGGAACGGAACCCGGCCGCCTGGGCCAAGGAATGGATCTGCGCCGCCCACGGAGAGATCTTGCACTCTGGGCAGCAGTGGATCCAAATGATGTCCTTCTTTTCGCCACCTGCCCTGTTTCGCGTATGCCTGTGTGCCTGTGTATGCACGCTGGACCTGATTTTCCCCTTTCTTTGCTTGCCGATTCACCCACTCTCGTGTTGAGTTCGGCATCGTCGTGCTGAATTTGGATCCCTGGGCTTGGGCACTCACGTCTCAAAATTCCTAGACGTATCCGTAGTCATTATCTAGATGCCAATACTTCCTTAATGTAGGTACGACACAGTCATGTTTCGTGGTCCATGCAGCCGGGCATTACTCAGTGGAGTAGTGTGCAGTCGGGATGGATCCTGGACTCTGTTATCTGTGTGTCTGCTAAGGAACGGATGCTGAACACACGTAAACGTTGCTCTACGTCTCGCACGTTTGGTTTTGTTCTAGGTAAAGTGAAGTTAGTCTACCCGAGTTCTCGGCCTGGTTAAGTGGGGATGTAGTAGGCAATACAGCAGCGGATATGCCGGACTGCGCCGCTGGTCACGATGCACAATATGAGAGTAGAAAAGATGGCACCGTGCAGTGATGTCTCAATCAGGTACTAATGGCCAAGCATGGGGGATCTCCTCGGAGCCGGACACAAGCTGCGGGTTGCACTTGGATGCCGCAAGAAAGTGCGGAAACAGAAGTTGGATTCCTCATCGTATTCGTGAATAGTGGTCCTGATATTCCGTACGATCTGGGAGGGTGGGAGGCCCGAGGTGGCAGCTGGAAGCTAGGTGCCGGAGCCACCGATGCGTGCAGCGTTGGGTTGACCGGTGCGGAGTACGGACATCACGCGGATAAGACCCACAAGAGGTTCATTTGTAAGCATGGCCACACTCCCATGTGGCTCTCAACTTCTGAGGTAGTGTGGGTGAATGCGGGTAGTCTCGGGTGGTGGGGCGGCAGTTCCGTGTCAGCTGTGGTCACGTATGGTCTACTACATACTCCGTGCCCAGTGCCGGTACCTTTGCACAGCGCTGTGGCTTAACGCCGATCGCTGTTTCGGCGTCAGCCACACCTAGGCGCAGTTGCATTGCTGATTGGTCAGCTTCATTGTGCCATTTCGCCCACAGTGTTGCGTTTTACAAATTGATGGCTAACAGACAATGGCCAATCTCTGCGTTTTAGCAACGCAAAAGGGACCAAACAAAAGCAAAAGATATGGAACCTACCTTAGCACGCAGTGGTAAAATATGATGGCCGGTTTCTGTGCTACGCTACCGTAATAGAAAGCGGCCATCATTTCTTGCTACCGCGTGCTTAGGTACGGATAGGTAAACGAGGGCTGAATACCCCTGGATGACAGAGAAAACCTTAAGACATGGAGAAGCCGAAGACTGGGCCGGACCATGCACTTGGCTGCATGCAAGAGAAAAGATCGAGAATTTTCCTTTTCCCGCATTTTCCTGCAGGCCTGCACGGGCTCCTCTTGTCTGTTTTTCGCTGGATATGCACCAACCAAGTGGTCCGACAGCCAGCTTGCCTGCCTGTCATGTCTCTCTCCCACCTCTCGGCATCGGCAGCATCGCTTCTCGGCCATCGCGGCATCGTTGTCAATCCCTGCATCAGCCAAGTTCCCTCTCTTGTTGTTAGTCGTTTGCCGTAAGACTTGGTTTGCTCTACACTTCTAAATCCTCACGCTGTACATGTAGACTTGTATTCAAAGATGCTACTGCGAACCTGACGGACCTAATTCGGTGTATTCCATGCGCACCCGCCAGGCGTGGTAAGCTTTGGTCAGCTTTGCGGATGAGTCAGTAGGATCTTGTTTTTGAGTACACAGAATAGAGAGAAACTTATGAGTGATCAATCGGCCACTTTGCCATGCTCGCTCATCTCATGCTCGACATGATGGGCCCGGGCAACACAGTGAGGGACGCGCACGCATCTTAACAAAGCACTGCAGAGAGGAGTCGAGTTCCTTTTCTGATGATGCCGTGAAGTTCAGCTCATACAATGGGATGGAAACCCCACGAACGTACCCCCCGGCACAACAGGGAGTGCCAGCCCTCGAGGTTGGTTTGCTGGTACAAATAAGCATGCATGCGACTAATCTTACAGGCCGCGTGCCTCGCGATGTGCGACGCAAATCTCTTCATGATTCTTTAACTTTTGGACACTCATGCACAGGGCCGTATTCGTGCAATTGAGACCCCCGAGAGTTCCAACGGCTGGACCGGCCGACGGGTGAGTTAGGCCCACCCCACGGCCGACGGAACGGGGTCGAGACCGCTCTAGGTCTTCAGAGACCCGGGTGGGGCACTCTTGCTACGGCGACGCTGAACATGGTGGTAGCTGCAATAGACGCGACCTGGCAATTAAGAGCGATGAAGTATCATGTGAAGTTTGATACGAGAGGAATACGACGAAGGCCGGAGCACAACCCTCAGGTGACAATGGAAAAAATAAGAGTCTGTAGCAGCGTGTTACGAGGCGTAATGAAGAGGGTCTCAACCAAGTCACTTCCTTGGCAGCTAAGAATCGAAATCCATTACGCCTAGAGCTGGCGCGGCTACGGCTGCGGCTGCTGGGAGGAGTCATCGAGCAGACTCATTCGTCAGCTGGCATTGCCAGCATGACTGATTCGTGGCATTCATAGCCCCGTCTCTTCGACGCTGCGCGCGGCGGGCAAGGACCCAGTTCAGCGCCCCGGTTCAAGCTTGACAATGCGAGCGCATTCCCGCATTCTCGCATCCCCTGGCAGCTTGGCACTCTGAGTGAGAAGGGCGGACATGGCCACAGTGGTTATGCGAGAAAATCCGCTCGGCCCGACGTGCAGGTGGGCAAGCCACATTGAAGATCGGCATGTGTGGCTGGAACATGCCTCGGTACCTATGCACTATAATGCTCTTTGGCGACCACCGGCCATGGGTGTGGCCTGTCTTTCTCGTGGTTGAGCCACATCACTGAGACGAGAGCACGAGTCACAAGTTCAGAGCAAACACGCCTATCCGAGGACGCGGGGGTGTACATGATAGGGAGGTATACGGATATAGTGGTCCGGAATGATGACCGAACGTGGTCGTCAAGAATGCGTAGCAACTAGCACTGCCCGGCCACATCTCAGCTTGCAAGTTGCGGCGTGCTGCCAATGTCCTATCACACCACTATTGCCATGCAGGATAACTGGTGGATACGTCGGACTGTTACGAATACCGAAGGCTAATGGCAGATGACCATGCTGTTCAAAGTTATTGATCGTGGACAGACAGGGCTCCTAGCAGTGCCGGCGCATTCGAGCTGTTTTATGAGATGTGTTGCGAGAAAATAAAATTACCTGAACAAAAGTCTTGCGGACTTGCAGTGATGCATAGCCGTAACGTAGTAAGGTACCTAAAGTAAGGTGAAAGGACGACGGAGGACAATTGAGCAAGTGCAGCAAGATCCTGTCACCCGCCGGACGGAAAAGCGCACACAATCAAGAATCTAACAGCGCTTATAGAAGACATAAAATTATATCAAAAAACTCACATTAATCAGCAGAAGACGAGACACTTTTGAGTTATTTTTTTTTCTATGATTTTGCTCTGAATCTGTAGCATAATCAAGCTACCATGATACTACTAGTGTAAGTATATTGTTAGTGCTCGGTTTAAGGTGTGCGCATTTTTTTGTCCGGCGGGTGCCTGTCTTCCGTTGCTGTGCCTATACTATGACGTTGGCTGTTAACTCTAAGTGGTTCTCACACTCAGACTCAGTCAAACCTCAACCAGATGGATCGGTTAGGTAAGGTTTGGATAGTATGCTTACTTTAGCCAAAACCGATACGTGCCAATGTGCCATGAGCAAGGTTACAAAAGGGAGGCCGGCACCAGCCACCAGCCACCAGCCATATGATAGGAACGTTAGTTGTTGGGTTCATCAGCCTGACCAGTTTGTTCTCTGATTACAAAGGTAAGGGCCATTGTGAGATCACGGGATATGACATCATCTATAAGGTACGTCGTTCCGATGAGAAACAAGTAGTCGTTTCTGAACATGAAACGTTACGATCGTTTGTCATCGACAGAGGATTTTAGTCAACATGCCGATGCGAAAGATGTCCGTTATTGTTGCACATTTTCAACGATGTATGCAGTGTAGACCAAAATATACCTGTATGGTGTCCTTACCCTAACTGACTTGCTTATCTCCCCAGATTTCTCATAGAGCACTGCCGCATTGGAGTGCGCTGGAGGTGCACGAATGGGAGATGGCGATGACAGGGGGGGGGGGCGATCGGGCATTCGTTCTACCCAGATATAGAATCTTCGCTTCGTTTATCGATGGCCTGTACCTGCAGACGACAACCACGAGGCCGAGGCCAGAGAGGAGGCGCACTGCATAATTAGAAAGCGCCAGTTCCTACGGGCAAGTGAATTGACACGTTGACACATTGCGTGATTGGGTGGCTTCTCTCGGCTTGAACAAGACCGGATAGTTGAGCGCTGAACCGACGGTGTGGCAGTGTGGCTGAGCACGATGCCTTTGGCCAATGAATGCAGCGCACCTGTAGGATGGAAGCATCCGCGCCAGCGGTCTCGCTCTTTTGTTTCTTCTGCTCTCTCGTCTCGCGGGCCCTCGCTTCGCGGGGTTCTCCCCTTTGGACCGCGGGGCACAAGCGACATTCTCTCTCCGTCCTCCGAGGCTTCCCCGAAGAGAAATTCCAAGAAACTTTTTTCCCCTTCCCCCTCACCCTCCCTTTCGGGTGCCTGCATCATTTTTTTTTTTGTCAAAACCGGCACAGACTGAGGTCATGGCATTTTGGCCTCGAACCCTTGTTCCCTGTCTGACCGCGCCCACCAAACACTCCCATCACACCCACATGAACAACCATGATCCAGCCCGACAGGACCCTTCAAAACATGCAGCCTTCGTGGGGCCACGGCATGGTAGAAGCGACCGGTGCAGCGAGCATGGAAGCGATCTTCGTCCCCCCTCACTCTTCCCTGAACCGGTCCGCCCACCCTTGACCATCGGCGTTTGCCCTCCAGGGTGGGCTGGCACGGCCGGAAACTGCGCAGTCACGCAGTGAAGGAGCTTCGGTACGGATTCTGCTGTGGGTTCTTGGATGACATCCATCGCTTGCAGGCCAAAACCTCGGATAATGGTCATTGCCATAGCATGTTATTAGTGTCAGTGCTTGATCACATACTGTGTAGAGGTCAGGTTATCGCAACCAGGTCTGGGTGTATCTACATAAGGTAGGTGCCTAGGTAGGTACCTACAAAATATGGTACTAGAAAAGGTATATACTCCGTCCGGATATGCATACTTGCGAAAGGAGCTTGGAACTGGAGATTCTTATCTCAATTCTCCCCACCTTGTGTCGGCCACCTTGAACGAAGAAATGGTCTCTGACGATCAATCGCCTGTGAGAGATAAAGCCTGCAAGCACGGTGACGGATGGCCCGTGTTGGTCCAGGAATAAGATGCACCCGTGTGCCATCATCGAGGGAATCTGGGATATGTAATACATAGTTGTAACGTGGTAAAGGTGTGCATACCTACAAAGTGTGTGCGTTCCAGCATGTCATCGGGTGGGCCTACCGGGCACCCCATCGATCCCTCCCACTCTCCTCATAGTGACACAGTAGGTTCTGCACCACGGGAATCGACGACCAGGTATCGACTAAGGTGTAATACTGCCACTGCGTAAGTACCTATGAACCTGTGAGGTAAGGCACTCCGTACGTAGGTGAGCGTCTCCGATACGATAGGTTCGGTCTTCTCAAATCCATCCATACCCGCACAGGACTCAGAGTACCTTAGGTGCCGTACCTACCTTAGGTGATTAGATACCGGTTCTTACTAAGGTATGTATCCGTACCCACACTACCTTGCCATGTCGGCGAGCTTTGAGACCTCAGTGGTCCCAACCCTTCACCCTACGTCACTCCACCAGCCCTCGACGGGATTATCGATGTCGTTCCGTCGCCGGAATGGAGTCCACCTACGTCTTGATCGCTGTTTCTCATGACCCTTTGAGTGCAACCACCCGCTCAGCGCAGCATCAAGCGCAAGCCTAGCCGAACACCCTGCCTTGTCTTGAGTGTCCTGTCTGCGAGCCTGCAAAAAGGTGAAATCGAATGAGAGCAACGTCTGTCTCCTCGGATTACTTCCGTGCTATCTCCCGCCTCGCATCTTCCCGCCTTGTCCGTCTCGCTCAACCCACAGTGCGTGAGTGCCACGACCAATGTTTGTCTTTTTACGGAGTATGCTCACTCATCATTTGTTAAGTTGAGGGGTCCAAGCTGGCGAAATCAGTCGTCTGCGGTGCTGCGGACAATATACTTGTTGGGTGAATGACAATGATCCCTAAACACAAGAAACTTCCAGAGGCTTCGAGCAAGGCCCTCGTCATTTCCATTGCACTGCCGTACCTACCTTACGCTGCCTCACGCTGCATTGCAAATTGGTGGTCTATTGCCCACACCCGCTTTCTGCGTATCTACCTACTGTAACTTGCTCCGCCTTACTGCGTGCGAATCACACTGGGCCATGGCTGTTCTCGATCTGTCTTTCCATCATGTGACTCAATTTTTATCCGCGTCAGCTGTTTAGTAGTCCGTTGTTGGGAGCGTACTATTCCGTCTGCCTGCGGCCAATTCAGCGACGTCCCGCTGGTTCTTTCTGCGTTAACTCCGCATAATTGGGTTATAGACCTCGGCGCACTTCCTTTGCTGCCTTTTACTACTCCGTGCGTTGCTCACACGATGTGCATCGAAAGGCCAAGATAGGGAAATGTGAGCTAGTAGGTACGAATGTCGACTTGGGGGAAAGGAAATGAATTACGAATATGCGCCTTGCCTAGATTCGAGGGCAATACCAAGTGAGCCTTTCTCGCGCTTTTTGCTTGCCTTATGCGTGTCACATTGCAAGTGCATTATTCAAGCAAGTGCTTGCTCGCTGGGCTGCTTAATAGTGACAAAAACTCAAAACCCCCGGTTGGGCCGTTGTTGGTCATGAGGTTCCTCGACCTTCTAGCGAATGGAATCGAGGACGAAAAAAATGCAAGGACTCATACCGCATGTTCTTGTTCGACTTGGTCATCATCCCACACACCTGAAAATTTTCTCCCTGTCTCTCCCCCCCCCCCCTTTGGGCCCTCCCCTTCCTGCGTCCAGACCTTAAGGTGTTCTCCCCGGTCCCGATCCTAAGGCCCCCCTGTAACCCTGCTCTACTTACCACACTGATCCCATCCCCGGGACCGCCAGCACAACTTGTCCAAGCCTCGGGTCCTCCACCCGGTACCTCCGCTCTTCGTCCGCGTTGCGAGGAGCGGTACGTACCCACAGCGCGCTACCTTACCGCACACCCTGGCCCTTCCATTCTAAGCCCCATAGCCCTCTGGGGTACGTACCTGGCCAGCTACCTCATTGCATTGCAAGTCCCCTACGTAGTGCTACCAACCCGCTGCCTCTCTTTAGTCTTTCCATCTTTATAAGTCATCGTCCCTCCGTGGTTTGCCACTCACTTGGCCCCTCCTACCATCACACCTACAAAACATCTAAACTTCTTAACTACCACATCATGCTGTTGACCCGACCCACTGCTTCACAATCAATCCAGCAACATCAGCAACAATTCCAACAACATTACTCCGACCTACACCACCAGTATCAGACACAATCACAGCATTTCTACCCTCACTCGATCGATTTTGACCTTGAAGGCTCCTTTGACGACACTGCTCCCGACCTCACCTCGTCGAGTATATCCTCGTCTCCGCTCTCGACTCAATCCTTTCTCCCTTCCTATTACTCTCTGGCAAATAACTCGGCAAGCCTTGCAAGTTACGACACGTCCCATCTGACCGTCCCAAGACGATCAGCGACAAGCACTTCAGGCTTCGAAGAATCTGCTTTGAACCACAACCATCAACAAAACCTCATGCAGTCAGACGCCTGGGTACTCGGGAATCAGTACGCTCCCAAGACCGGTGGTCGACTACCTCATCAGCGGGAGTCATCTTTGTCTTCGCTCGGTTCAGCCGGTCCCGCATCACCCTTCAGTCACAGTACAACGAATCCCCAAATCGCGGTGACAGATTCAACACCCGACGTTCTGTACGATATGCAGGCTCACGACGGTAATGCCTTCTACCAGTTGTCCAACAAGTCAATGGCGGTGTCCCACGACAACATGTATCCCAACTACAACGGACTGCAGAACATATCGTCGGACATGGCCGGCTACGCCTCAGCCTTGAGTGTTCAACGACCACGATCTGACCGCGGGTTATTACCTGCGCCTGAACTCTCTATGGCTGGTAGCAGATCTCACCCAAACTCTGTGGCAAGCTCCATTGCTGGGGACTCACCCGCAACACCGTCACAACTCGAGCACGAAGATGACAGGCGGCGGAAAGCTGGTAAGCAATTTTCCATGCAAGTGTCTAAGAATAAAAGCTTACTTGATGTTTTCGACATAGTCTTCAGCAACGTACCCAAGCTAGATCGCACGATGACAGACATCTATAATGATGAACTGTACAGCCCCAATTTCACCATTACCTCGGCAGCTCCGGCTCAAAACCACATGGCTGTATCTCCTAGCAATGACGTGTTTGCGCAACGACTTAGCGCTGCAAACAACCAGCACCTGAGTGCAGCACAGTCGCCAGTCTCTAGTGTGTCACGCGACCGTTCGCCATTCCGTCAGGGTTCACCATTGGCACCGATGCCCAGTCACGACTTTGGTGGAGGTGTTCAGGCCTCTCGTCTACGATTCAACTCGGCCCACCAAATCCGGGAACAGAAGAAGGCGGAGCAAGATGCACAAATTATGCGACAACAAATGTCTGTAAAGTCGGAGCCGGAAACCCCGAAAACCATCTCTCCAAAAGATGCGATGCTCGAATTTCACGATGGCGATGCCGAATCATCATTTTCACTCTTTCCATCTCAGGAGACGGTGGATTTTGAAGACATTGCAAAGGCAGTGGCCACGCAGGACCAACAGGTCAATTTTGCGAGGCCTGCCATGCAAAATGGGGCAGCCTTCCCTTATATGCCCGCTCAGCTTCAGACCGCTGTCCACATTCCACAGCAGTACCCGTTCATTGCTCATCCACGACAATCTCATGAGCAGATTCCTCGGCTTAGCTCTGCCGAGTCAAGCACCGGGGGATCCGATGCTACTTCGACTTCAAATGCGGTACCGACAACCAAACCTGTAGGTGCTACTGCTGATGGCGGTACTTACACTTGTACATACCACGGCTGCACCATGCGATTCGAAACCCCTGCTCTGCTGCAAAAGCATAAGCGTGAGGGGCATCGGCAGACTCAGGGTATCGGAGGGCCCAGAAGACCTGAAGCAGTTGCCGCATCCCCCGACAGTATCCTCAATAGTCAAGCCGGACCTCACCGCTGCGATCGTATCAATCCTAGCACGGGCAAACCGTGCCACACAATCTTTTCACGCCCGTACGACTTGACTCGTCACGAGGATACCATTCACAATGCGCGGAAGCAAAAGGTGCGCTGCAATCTTTGCACCGAGGAGAAGACGTTTAGTCGTGCCGATGCGCTCACGCGACACTACCGAGTCTGTCATCCGGATGTTGAATTCCCAGGCAAGCACCGACGCCGGGGGCATAATGTCTGAATGCGCTACGTTTACAGGCCATGACACACAGCTCGGATGGTGTCTGCTTCGCGGCGGCTTTACACTGGTCCAGTTGGCAGAAGAATGCGCCGACCTCCGAGGAAGCTAATGGTCTACCCAATTATCGACAATACCGTGCACCATCCCCGAGCATGAGGAGTGAATCAGGGATGCAGGACAGTCGGGCGAATCAACAGGGGTGGAAATTCAGGGTCCTCGATGGTGCAGTAGGGGTCGTGCAACATGACATCACATAGTCCGTGCGCAACGACCCTGACGATCCATATGACCCGTAATGACATCATTTACCCGCCATTTCCTACTAGGTTCACATCGCCAGAAGTCGTGCAACTTGCCCGACTCCACTCAGCGACATCATCATGAGTCTTGGCATCATCATCCACCTCTGCCTGAGTTCATCAAATCGGGAATTGATGGGACGAGTTGGGGAGGATGGATGATCATGACGCTACATTATCTATGCTCCTGCCACAGGCTCCTGCATTCCAGTTCACGCCATATGGACGGTCCCGATCAGCCCCGACTCGAAATTTGTGGTTCTTTACCCAGATGATGCAATCTACGGCCTTAACCACTGCTCGGACGGGGCTTATGCATTTATTTCCCTTTTGAGAAGCAGCGTTGTTTTAACCGCTTCCATCAGTTATTTGACTTTTGCGATGGGTTTAGGACTGGATACGGAGCGAGTCTTTCACATCTCCCATTCTTCCACAAGACGATTGTGTATGACATGTTGTACATTATGATATTATGGTCCAAGTCGAGACCACAAGGCTAGAGAAAAAAAAGGTTGGGGAGGGAATGGGATGTCCTAAGGGCACGCAGGCGTGGTTGGCTTTCACGAATGTGATGATGAGGGAGGAATGATGCATTATAGATATATTAATATGTGAAACACCATCCCCATACTGGTCTTATACCCGGCCTTGATTCTTATCGGTCAACACTTGCGTCCTGCCACATACGGAATTGGTTGACAACTGGCTGAAAATATCACAGAGAGACTTAGACTATATCCCTTCACGATGATGCTCAAATACACATTGACTAGACAAGGACATAATACTCTATATTTGAAATAGTTGTTCGCCATTTCTTAGGTGAAGTTCCAAAGTCGGTTATCTACTCAGCAACCGAGTCTGTATGGTCGATGCTAGTCCCTAGAGCTCCTTCCTCTACTCTAGCAATCAAAGCTATCTACGAAGCACCAATGATATTTGGTACGCACGTTCAATGGTCGGGTCCTGCAGCGTGCCCTAGCCATCCTACGCCACTTCCTCGCCCAAGACGGCTGCGCGAGCAGTCTGGTAGAGAGGGGTGATATCCGTCCATTTCTGGAACTAAATTGAATCCAAGTTAGCTTCCTATGTCACGTTCATCTACTTGGGTGCCACGTTTCCACCGTCCACAAACATTCACTTACCTGGTACCAGCCCTGAGCTGAGAGCACCTCGAGGCCAGGGATGGTCTCCCACCCGGCGTCCTCGGCCAATTGCATCAGTGGTGTATGACGAGGCTGGTAGGCCATCTCAAGAAGGACGCGTTTCCTATCGACTGTCGTGTCTTGACGCAATACCGCCATGAGAGTTTCTCGGAGCGAGGGATCAACTGGCTTGTCGGCAGGGATCGTGCTGATCATAACGGTGGGCGAGGATGCTAGTGCAGGAACTTCGCTGGCATTCTTGAGAGCTTCGATGCGATAATCCGAGGGGAACGACGCCTTCAGGGCTTCCAGGTTGCCACTGTTGCGTGCTAGAGCGTAGATAGGCCCGAAGCCAAGTGCGTGCAATGCGAAGATGGCGGCTCTTGTTGTTCCGCCTGAGCCAATAACGATGGCAGAAGATTCAACGTCTTCTGTCGATTGGGACGAAACACCTGCCGACTGAAGAGAGTGAACCATACCTGACCAGTCAGTGTTGTCACCGATGAGCTTAGCCGTGTCTCCGCTGGTTGATACTGGGATGATAGTGTTGACAGCGCCAATGATGCGAGCAGCCTCCGAGACTTCGTCAATTTCCTTCATAATGTCGAGCTTGAGCGGGATTGTCACGGAAGCGCCGCCAAAGTCGGGAGCTCGGATCAACTCGCGTACATCGGCCGCGTCAGTCGTTTCTTTGCGCAGGTAATGGTGCGGCAATCCGACCAAATCGAACAAAGTATTGTGCAGAGCAGGTGATCTCGATGCTGCAATGGGACTACCGAAAAGATAGTAGGTTTGCGGGTTAATGTCACCAAGCAACGCCAAAGCTTGCCGGATCTCGGCCGCGGACAACTGCCCCGGGGCTGCTTTGAATGGCAAACTGGGATGGGAGACAGGGGTGAGGCAGCCGTTCAGGACACGGCTGAGCTTTCCAGCTTGCCCCATGTTCAGCGCAATGATCGGGATTTTGTGCGAAGACAACATCTCCAGCTTGAATTGGGCTAGGTCATAGTTGTCTTCAATTCGTTTGGCGACACCAACCAACTTGATCACGTCACCCCATTGAAGGGCCTTGTTGTAGAAGGGGATCCAAGAACCATTCTTCCAAGACAAGTTGCCCTGAGGATCATGGTGGGAGGCAATGATACGCGCGGGTCCCTTGTTCTCCACGACTGCTCGAATGACTCGCTCTGGGAGTGTCATCTCGACATCGATGAACTCAACCCCCATGCGGATTGCTTTTTGGTACAGACCAAGGGCTTGATCATGGGCGTCATCGGGGAACTTTCCACCCTGAGACAGTGTGCGCAGAGTGAAGATAATGGGCACGTCTGCCACCGATCTAAGAAGCGCAACCTGGTGTGCAACGAACTCTTCAGAATAGTCTTGGAGCAAGTCCACGCGGAGCTCCACGGCGTCAGAACCAACCACAACAGCCGGTATCAGAGTGAGAGCTGACGCAACCTCTGGTATCGTGAGGGAAACAAAGAAACTGGGATTCTTCGCCAGTGCCTTATTGACTTGTACCTGCTCTCCGCACAAAACATTGACGAAGCGGCGGAAGTCTAGCGGCGGCTCCCGTGTAGCCAACGTTCCTGGGGGATGAGGGCTGAAGTACTCAAAGTTGCTGCACTGCTCGAAGAAGGGCTTCCGGCGCCAGTAGACATCTTCAATGTCTTCTCTGTAGGCCGGTCTTGATTTGTCCTGCAGAAGGTAGTCGACGACTTCCTTGGTATTACGGTGGACGAGTAACACAGTGCCGTTGTTCTGGCAGTGTGCAACGAGCAGTTTCCGAGCTTCAGGAGTCTCTACAATGCCGCCGCCGCACGAGAAAATATACCCGTGGCTCTGTTTCTCCAGGACATCCCGGAGAAGCTCAAGCTCGTCGCTTCTGAAGCCTGTCCATCCTTTGGAACCTCTGATCATCTCCGGAATTGTCATGCCTGACCGCCGTTCCAGCTCTTCATCCAAATCGATAAAAGGCCTCTTGAGCGTCGCGGCCATCCATCTTCCCGCAGTCGTCTTGCCTGCGCCACGCATACCAATGATGACAACAGACTTATCCTTACGAGATCTCGTGGGAAGTCCCGTAGCCGCTGACTTGGGTTGCTCGTCAATGCCGTCAAGCTCAATGTTGAAGAACTGCGACATGGTGTCCCACCAACCTGGCCATGTCTTGCCAGTGCATTCCCTCTCAAGAATCGTCACAGGCTCGGGGGATACCACTGAAAGAACGCTGAAGCTCATGGCGACGCGGTGATCGTCGTAGCAATAAATGCTTTCGGTAGGCTGCTGGAGCCCCTGCACAGCGCGGCCGGTGACGATGATGCCGTCGTCAAATTCGTCAGTCTCAACGCCAAACTTGGCTAGTTGCTCGCGCATTGCCCCTATACGATTGCATTCTTTCACGCGTTGATTGGCGATGCCGCTGATCTTGGTTGTTCCGGATGCCGCAGCTGCTAAGACGGAGGCTGTGAGGAAAGCGTCTGTCATAGGTTCCATATCGACATGCTCAATCGCCTTGAGACCGCCAATGGACGGGCCTGTGACAGTCGTCGAAGTTCCAGTCTGCTCAACCGTGCATCCCATAGGTCTCAGCACGTCAACAGCAAACCGTGAGTCGCCCTGAAGTGACTCTGAACCAATGTTGGGCACAGTACAAGTGGTGCCGGTAATGGCTGCAATAGCCAGAGGGTAGGTAGCGGAACTGGCGTCGCTCTCCACGACGTACTCGGCTGGGTTTTGGTACACTGCCTTCGGGATGTGGTAGGTATTGAGCTCCGTTGTCGATTTCGTGACGTTTACGCCGAAGGTCCGCATCATCGAGACGGTCATATCAATGTAAAACTGTGATATGGGCTTTCCGCCTACGAGTCGAAGGGTGACTGGGTTTTTCGCGTAAGGTGCAGCCATGAGAATTGACGACACATACTGCGATGAGATGGTAGCGGCCAATTCTATGACACCGCCCTCGAAGCCCTTGGCAGCATCCACCTGGAGAGGAAGACTCTTCTCTTGCCCGAGGTATTTGATTCCCAACCCATTGGCCCTGAGAGCATCGACCAGAGGACCAATTGGACGAACTTTCATGCGAGCGTTGCCGGTAAGTACTGTGGAAGACACTCCAGACGGCGCACAAAGAGCCACGACAGTCGTCAAGAATCGGGATGCGGTACCAGCGTTGCCAAGGTACAGCGCCTCTTTGCTAGCATTGAGCTCGCCGCCTTTGCCTTTGACAGCTAGCACCTCCCCGGCATCTTCCCAGGCGTATGTTGCTCCCCCAAGCTGAGCAATGGCTGACAACATGTACTCTGTGTCGTCAGAATGCAGCAGGTTCGTGATCCGGCACGTTCCCTGCCCGAGAGCAGCGAGAACAAGGGCACGGTTGGAAATAGACTTGGAGCCGGGGGGGGTAACTATGGTGCTGTGAGACTTCGGCATGCCAGGTATGACCTGAGTTGCGGATGATAGGACTACCCTGATGACGTGGTCTTGGACCACGCTGGCTTTTTGTTCGTGGGTTTTTCCGATCGCGGAGAGGAGCACAATCTTCTTCTTG